GCGGTGGGGCCGGCTCCCCGCTCCCACGCGTGGCTTGGCTGCTTCCGGTAACGGAGGGGGCGCATGGGTGCTCCCTCCGCGGGGCGTTCCGTTCTCGTGGCTACCGCCCCCCGAGGTGTTGCTCCTCTTGGGAAACATTCCTTGACTGCGCTTCCTCCCTCTTCTAGCCTCTCGGTGGTTCGAGGTGCACCACGGCCATGTTTAGCGCTGCCTGCCCGCCGCAGGGTGGCGATTCAGGGGGCCGCTGGGGAGAAAAGGAACACAAGCATGTGAAAAACTAAGTGCAAGTCTGGTGACCGAAACAATAGGTAGTGACTAGACCAACCAGCGGTCACCATTCTACTTCATGGTCAAAAGACTGTATCATTCAGTAAGTCAGGAGCAATAAATAATGCTTCTCATCTATGCTGCTGTTCGATATTATCCTGTAAGATAGAGCCCATGCATTAAGAGATAAATAAGAGATGGTTATTGGAGAAGAATACACACAATTTTTTTCAAGCAAATATAAGCATATACCTTAGAAAAAAGAGACACCAGCAAAAACTATTATTGTACAAATATAATAAAATGATGAAAAATTAATGCTAAAATTTGTTTCCTGTGACCCAGCAATAACAAATCTAAAAATGATCTTGTTCCTAATGGCAATAAAACAGATAAAATCTGATGTAAACTTAAAAAGTTGTGAAGGATTAATTTACATAGAAAAAACAGGAACTTATAATAAATGTTAATATAAAATATTAATGAGTTGAGGGGTAGTTAAAAGAATACTGAAAGAATAAATTGTCAGATATTAGAAATATTATGAAATAATAAAAATATAGTATTCTACAAAAATTATCAGTTGAAGAAAGTAGAAAGTACAAAGGCTGATTTAAGACAATAGACTTTAATATGCTGAAGATGGGATTGCAGTTGTTAAACATTCATTCAGCAAATAGTTTTAAACATCTATTATGTTCCAGCCATTGTGCAAGGTGTTGGAAATGTGGAACTAATGAATGCAAAGCTCCTGTTTCGTGAAATGCAATATTTAGAAAAATTTTAAATGTCTAAGGATAAAACTAGGATACGTCCTATATCTTATACTATATGTCAAAGTAGATTATAAATCAAGTATATTGTTAAATATAAAAAGATAGGACATGAACAGAAAAATGTATAAGTGAAAAAATTTGAGTTAGGAAACCTAATTAAAAACAGAGAGCAAGATACCATTATTTTAAAACATAGGAATTGACACTATTTTTGGTGCAGCCACTTTGGAGAACAGTATGGAGTTTCCTCAAAAAATTAAAAATAGGACTGCCTTATGACTCAACAGTTCCATTGCTGGGAATATATCTGAAGAAAACCAAAATACTAATTTGAAAGAATATGTGCACCTCTGTGTTCACAACATTACTTGTCATAGCCAAGATTTGGAAGCACCTCCAGTGCCCATCGGTAGATGAGTGGGTAAAAAAAGCGGGGGCACATTTACGCAATGAAATGCTACTCGGGGATAAGGAAAGGGCGTCTCACCCTTTGCGGCAGCACGGATGGCCCTGGAGACTGTTAGGCTGAGTGAAATGAGCCAGTCAGAGAGAAGACAAGTGCCGTATGATTTCACCTACATGTGGAATCTAATTAACCAAAGAATCTAACATACCAAACAGGAGCAGAAGTATGGACACATAGAGCAGCCTAACAGCTGTCAGGGGAAGGGGCTGGGGGGCTGGCTGGAAACGGGGAAGGGAGTAGGACAGACAACACAGACGCAGACCCCGCCTGTAGCCAGAGGAAGGGGGTGGGGGAGGTGGGAGAGGGCACAGGGAGGGTGAGGCGCGTGGAAAGGGGCCTGACTTCGGGTGCTGAGTGCGTGGTGCAGTGTGCACGTGTGTTACAGAGTGGCATGCTTGGAACCTGTGTGGCTTTATTAACCAGTGTCGCCCCAATAGATTCAATAAAAATAATGTTTTAAAGACAATCTGTTAAAAAAAAAAAAGAAAGTAAATGGCTGTTACACCTGACAGACAATAAAATAATAGCCCCGATATGGAAAGAACATTTGCAAATCAGTAAGAAGAACCCACAACCCAAGTTCAAAAACATGACGAAGAATTTTGAAAACACCCAAATGAAGAATTCTGATAAAAGAATGTTGACTTCAGATTTGTCCTCCAAATACAAGTTAAAACTATGACAAAATTTCAGGTTTAAAATTTCAGTATAACCTGGATGGTATCTCTCAGAGGAACCAGGTGAAATGACTGTCTAATACTGAAACCATTTTGTTGGACAATGGCTGCGGGATATGTAAAGGAAGTTAAGTAACAAGAGATCTCTGGCAATGAAGTCGTAAATGAAATGGCATTTACCTAAAAATTCCAGTTCATTAATTTATAAAATCACAAACTGTAAGATTGTAGAGCCCGTCTGATCTAGTGCCCCCGTTTGCAGATAGGGAGCCCGAGTCCGGCTCTGTGCATAACCCTCACGTACGTGTGTTTCAAAAGTGTCTGGAGATAGGGCTTGCTTGTAGCTTTATCATCGGGCGATTGTAAGGCATGGTTAGTCCTTACAACAGTGACACTCAGTCACACTGTTTAATTGTTCTAGGAGGAAATGGAGAATTATTTTACAAGGTCAAAGAGAGCATTTTTTGTTGTATAAAGCTTAGCATTAAATTCAGTTTTCCCAAAACTTTCTATGTAGTGAAACTCTTTAGTCCTGGGTTTTTTGTTTTTGTTTTTTTCCCCTCTAGCATAACCCTACTTTTTATCCTAATCTGCACTTCCAGTAAAATTATTAGAATGCTGATCTAATGTTTCCCAAGTTCTTTAACTTTGAAAAAGATTGAACCTAAAAAAAATTAAGAAGCAATGTATGTTTAAATGAATAAGATAACTAAACTTTGGTATTTTAATAAAGAGTTCACCATTTGGGAAATAATTCCAGGCCATTTTATAGTCTTTTCAGATTAGTTTTCAATTGTTACTTTGTCAAGTATATTCAATGAAGATTTTGTTATTCCTGTATTTATAGGGCTGGTTAACCATAAATATTTTATCAATGGGGGCATTTTTAGCACCACCTAATGGCAGGCAAGTAAAAAATGCTTTTTCTAATTTAGAACTTATTTGCATAATTCAAATTAAGCTATAGCTAGAGTTGCTTCTATATGTAACTGTTTACATTCCCTAATGCACCATACAGGCAGCTAGAAATCCATCTCCAGGCAACTGGTTTAGGTGGGAATGAAGCAAAAGGGATATTTGATAATGAAGCCAAGGGATTTTTGCTTTCTTTATGAGAGCAAGGAGAAGAAAATATCTGTGTAATAGAACACACTGTTCTTATGTGAAGTGTTATTTTCATTTTAGGAGCTTACGCATTGAGACTCCATTCTCCATACCCCAGTTGATTTCCTGACAAAATATACCTTGACTATTGCATTAGCATATTTGATTCGTGTTGTTTTTTCAGCAGTTGTTGACAAATCTTTGACCAATTTGATATACTGCTCTAATAAAGCACATTATATCTCTGAAATTGTTGTAAATGAAGTGTTCTGTCTTTCTGTTTATTCTCTTGGAATTTTCTATAGAACCTGAGTCAAACACCATGTGTTAGGTGAGGGATAAACAACTTCTGCCTTCTCAGGGGTGTCCAACCAGCGGCCTGAGGGCTGTGTGTGGCTCAGGATGGCTAGGAATGCCGCCCAACACAAACTCGTAAATTTACTTAAAACACGAGGAGATTTTTTTGTGTGTGTGTTCATGTGTCACCATGCATTTAATGTGTAGCCCAAGACAACTTTTTTCCCAGTGTGGCTCAGAGATGCCGAAAGGTTGGACACCGCTGCTGGGCCACACCTGTTTATCAGATAGGGCTTCCTAGCAAGATGTGAAAATGAAGAAAGACAAATTGGACACGCACAGTTCTTCAGGGAGTTGCAATCTGCTGATGCCAGAATAAACCCCCTTCCCTGTGGAGGGCCTTTGATTCCCAGCCCGGCCTGAGAGAAGCTCTCCATCCTTCAAACTCTCATCGTTCTGGTTGGCTGTGCTTCTGCTCATGTCAGTATTCAGTAGTCACTCAGTATGGTGCTGTCGAGCTGTTACTTCTCATGTATGTTTTTGAGCGCTCACGTGACTCTCACCATGTAATTTGTCTATACACACACAGATACATCTATCTGTATTCATTTGATCTTTCCAACTAAACTGGAACCTCTTTGAGAATGGAGATCGTGCCTCCTTGAACTTCCTTGCCATCTTCAATGCACTAAGTGAAATGCCTTCCACAGGGGAAGCGCTCTGTAGTGCGCATCGAGCAGGTGGGACCCCAGGCAGGCTGGAGGTGGGACCAAGCAGTGACGGTGGGAAGACCTCTGCGTGCCCAGGGCAACCTGGCCTGCATTCTGGGCTGTGGAAATCTCCGAGAGGACAGTGTGGGCCTCGTGCTGTCCTGGAGGTTGAGGGGGACCCTGGCATTCTAAGGCTGCGCGCTTTTTGCTGCAGAATGGCGTTTCGGGAAGTCTGCTCTGTGGGCCCCCTCACAGCAGAACTTCCCAGTCCTGGCTTCTGTTCCCGGACAGGTTCTTTCAACGGAAGCGTTTCAGACGAAGCCCCCCTGTTCCTTTCACTCGTGTCAGAACAGCCATTTATTTTTATTACTCTGATAATGTTTTCAATTGGATGTTTCCGAGTAGCCAATTTTGGGTTGCCACCATGTCTTTTTACATGACTCTTGTTGATGAGTTTTGCATAAATTTAACCTTCATTATATATTGATCAGTGGCAGCGTGGGCTTGAGTTCCGAAGTCCAGGGCGGCATTCGTAATGGGGTAGGTTTGACACCGAATGGCTGGGACCATGGCACTCCGTCGCTGTGTATCATTCCCTGACTGTAGTCACGGCATCATAAATAATAATGAAAGTAAATGTGCGTTTATCAGAAAGAATCAACAAACCCCCAGCACTGACTTGCTGATTGTACTTGTCTCGCAGGCATTAAGGCCAGCTTTCGCACAAGGGCGCCTGAAGGTCTGATCGTCTTTGCCGCATCCCCGGGCAGCCAGGAGGAGTACTTTGCCCTACAGTTGAAGCAGGGACGTCCTTATTTTCTGTTTGATCCTCAGGTAAATCACTAATCATAAAAGCTGAGATATCTGAGAGTTGCCCAGGTGCCAGGTACTGAGGTAAGTGCTTATGTTTTCACATTGAATCCTCACCAGAAATGTAAAGGTAAGTCCTCTTATTGCCCCCACTTTACACATGAAGAAAAAGACACAACAGTCATGTGACTTGCCCACAGCTAAAACAGCAGAGCTGACTTTCAAAACACGTAGTCTGACTCTACACAATTAATGACCATATGCTACCTCATAACAAAGACGAAAACTTTTAAATAAATTTGAGGAGATCTATTTTTATTTTACTTGAGGGCCAAATTATGTCTCTCTCTTTTTTTATTTATTAAATTTAGAGAAGGGGAGGAAATGTCAGTTTGTTGCTCCACTTATTGATGCATTCATTGGTTGATTCTTGTGTGTGCCCTGACTGGGGATCAAACTTGCAACCTTGACATATTGGGAAGGCACTTTAACCAACTGAGCAATCTGTCCAGAGCAAATTGTGTGTCTCCTTATTCTCTCTCTCCTTCCCTTCATTTCTCCCTTCTTCCTTCCCTCCTTTCCTTACTCCCTTCCATTTTTAATTTAATTTTTTTTCATTTGCTTACCAGAAATTATTGAAGTATCTATCAGGTACTATTGTGCTGAGTGTTACAGACAGCACCAGTTTTAGAGTTAAAGAGATCCATGCCCCTATGAAACAATCTAAGTAGGATATAGTAAAAAAAAATTTAAATTATTCATGAATGTTATGAAAGAGAAGTGTGAGATTCTAAGTATTACGGCAGCATAAAATGAAGGCTCTCTCTTTTCTGAGTTGTCAGTCTTCTTTAGACATGTGATCTACCGCTGAGGTGTAGCGGTAGATCACATGTCTAAAGAACAAGGAGGAAGCATTGTTCGAGACAAGAGCATATGTCTCTGTGTGAAGGCATGTGTTTCAGGGAGAGCAGAAAAAGGGAAAATTCTGGTGGGCGACAAGGGAAGGTGCTGGAATAAAATTTCCAGGCAGAGCCTGAGGTAGACAAGCACACGGCGTATTCTCTGCATTGAGGTGCATCAGAGGTGGCTGTAGACTAGAGAACAGAGAGAGAAGTGGTAGGTTGAAAAGCTGGGTAGAGAGTAAGTCATTTAGATTCCTGGAAGGAAACGAGAGGATTTAGATTTTTACAAAGGACAATGGGAAGCCATAGAAGAGTTGTCTTCGCTTTAGCTAAACCAGTATTAGTGAACATATGATGTTGGGCGTTGCATTGTGCTTGTAATGGAGAAATGAAAAAGTCTTTTTTTTTTTTTTTTTAAAAAGAAAATTTATTTCTAGAGAGAGGGAAAGGGAGGGAGAAAGCGAGAGAGAGAAACATCGATGTGTGGTTGCCTCTTGAGGGCCCCCCTCTGGTGACCCGACCCGCAACCCAGGCGGGTGCCCTGACCGGAAATCGAACTCGCGACCCTTTCCCTCACAGGCCAGCCCTCAGTCCACTGAGCCACACCAGCCAGGGTAGGAAGACTGTTTAAGATATTTTTTCTATTCCATTTTCTCAGGTTTTCCACTTAAACCTGCTGATCTCAGTCATAAATTACACTTGCCAAATAAATGTTTTGTCTTCTATAGTAAAGCTGGCAGAGTTCTCCCTTCTGTGTTGAAGGGGTCCTCGGCCAAGGGCTCAGGTGAGAATACCAACTAGAGACTGACTCACCTTGGAGAGGGGAGGCGGGTCCTGCTGGACCAGTGGTGTGCGGACGCTGGCCGGCTCTGTGCAGGGAACCTCAGGAGGTGGGCTGCATCCTTCCCACGTCTGGAAGCAGGAGAGCCACGAGTTGGCAGCTGGAAGACCCACGGAAGAAAGATTTACTTCTGGGGTTTTACCAGGAGCCTGATGACCTCTGGCTGCTACCCCATAGGTCCTGAGGCCCAGTGACTTCAGGGCGTCCCCCCAAATTTCAGCTTCTTAAGGGATGCCTATAGGTGGGCAGTGAGTGAGCAATAATAAATCGCATCCCACCTATGCAGATCCAGTAGCCAGAGGAAAAGGGTGAAGCAGTGGTTGTCTCGGGAGGCTGGGAAGATGGCAGATGAACACAAAACAAAGCAGTCAGCACACAGAAGCTGATTCAGTTACAGAGCTGGAAATACTACTTTTCACTGGAAAACTTTAGATTACTTGGAGGAGACACACTGTGTTGAGCCTCAAATGAGTAGGTCAGAAAACCATGAAAACAGGGAAAGATAAAGATCAAAACTAATATTAGAAGAAATTAAGGAGGAGAAAGAAACACATGCACAAGAAAAGGAAGGATGAGCGAAAATAATTGAATATAGAATGGGGGGAATATCTGATTTAAGAAAGAATTGGTTATAAATTTATTGAAAGGGACTCATCAAAGTTTAGTCAAGATTAAGAGAAACTAATGCTTCCACAGGACCTCTATGTGCCAGCATTATTCTAAGTCTCTTCATAAACACACACACACACATGCTTAAATGTCACAACTGTGTGAGACAGGTACTCCTATTCCAGTTTTACAGGTGAAAAATCTAAGTCACAGTTAATTTTCGTACAGCTTATCAGGGACCAAGCCAGGACTGAAACCCAGGCACACCAGCCCCAAAGACCATGCTTTTAGGTCCAATACTACAGTGCTGTTCAACATGGGAGAGAAATGCCTGTTGCTATTCACAGACTTAGATAAAATACCACCCATGCGCCCTCTTGCAAGGAAATCTTTCAGCAAGGCTTCTGACCAAAAAGAACATGTAAAAAGAGTCTGACATACAAAGAGGAGATGCAGCAGTGAATAATAACACTAGCATATTTTCAACCTAAATATTTAATGACAAAGGGAGGAGAAATGTTTTACAGTAGCAAAGAATCTTTGAAATAGAATAGCTACACAACGAAGACAAAACTGAACAAAACTCTAATAATCATCTGGCATTAAAATTATTGAGAGTTGAAAGAGAGCAAAAGATAATTGACTTCAAAGTTTCTAAAGGTACCCACTTAGTGGAGGGAGGAGAAGGGGGCATAGGTCACATCAATGTCATGTTTCCCAAAATAAAGAGACAAAAAAGTTTGGCTTTAAATGTTGTGAAAAATAAATTACTAATAGAAGGAAAATGTTCTAAGAACATTCCAATTAAGAAGATGAAAATAAAAAGACAATGTCAAACTGTGAAAATCAACAGGAATCATGAAAAGAAAGGAAACGGTACAGTCAAATGGAAGAGTGTCGAAGAAAAAGCGCAGCCTGGCTGAGCGCTTCCCTCCTGCACCTGTTCAGACCTGGGGATTTTTGAGAAGAATTCAGGGGGAGAAAAACCTGAACCATATAACCACATATTTGTAGAGCTTTTACAGTTGGCAAAAATGGATTCGTGTTAATAGTGAGATTTGATTCTTGAAGTGGCCACTTGAGGTAGAGAATCGCGTCATCCCCGCTCTAGGTGACGTGGCTTCACTAGGGTCACGCAGCGACTTAGTGGTGATAAAACGGGCACCGCGTTTTGTTTACTTCGTGCAGTGCAACCCTGTTAAATCCGCTGCTCTCCCCACGGCGCTGGGCGGCCGCGCCCAGGGAGAACCCCGGAGGGACGCGCTCAGAGTTCCACCCCTGCCACCCCCTCACCTGGACTGCCCCCGCTGCGGCCGAGGTCAGAGGCCCCGCTTGGTCTGGACAGGGCGGGGAGCAGTGGGCTTCACGCTGCCTCCCGCGCACAGCAGGTCACGCCGTCACACGTCCTGCCCCGGTCTGAGGGTCTGAGCGGGACTCCAGGTGACCTACATCTCCGTAGCGCGCTGGCCATGGGCGGGTCACAGAATTTGATAAACACCCCCCACACCCTTACACACACACACTTTGAACATACAGGGCAAACTCCTTGCAGCGTTCATCGAAAAGTGGTTTCGCCAGATCCGAGGCAGACAGCCACTTCTTTCATCGGTGTGGCTTCTCTTCCTAGGATGTGGCACCTGAGGACTGCAGAAAAGGAAGGCGCTCGACAGCGCTTTGCTCAGCCTCAGCCTGGTCGCTGAGGCCTTGAGGAAGGCCGCCCTCCTGAGCAGGGTTGCCTGAGGACTCAGTTGAGGAGATGGGGCCCGTTACATCGCACTCAGTGCTCGGGGGCCCCGGTGCTGTCCCTCATGAGACAGTGGGCCCCAGCTGGCCAGGGCCGGCCCTTCCTCCCACCAAGGCGCTTACACCCTCGTGCGGGGTAACCGGACGAGCTCGCTCACCTGTTAACGGAGGCCACCGCTGTTTTCCGACCAAGAATTGTGGAGGCTGAAGGGTGGAAAGTTTGGGAATATTCTCTCATTGTTTCTTCTCCTTTTGGGTAGGGATAGGAACACAGCCTCTTGCACCATGTTGGAGCTACTGCAGGTTTAAGAAGCTTGTATTTGTTTTATGTGCCTCCCATTGACATTCAAATTATTTCTATTTTAAATATTAATATTTTAGGGGCCACTTTAAGCCATTTTCCTTTTTCTGTGTCTTTAAGTGAGACAAGATTATCTATCTAATGAACATTGTATTATAGTCATCAGATAAATAGTTATTTCCTTAATGGGTCTTTCTTTCCAGACCGCACAGTCCAGCAAGGACACTCTTTCTGTTTTGTCCTCAGGTGGATTCTTGAGGCTTAGCACAGTCCTTGCAACACAGTACATGCTCAGTAAAGAAATGTCTGTGAGCAGATTGGCTGACTTGGTGACTTAATAATTATTGGTAAAATACTGCTCGTGGTTGAAGAACGTTGCCCATTTTCTAGAATAACATTTCCAGCTCTTTAATGAGTATATAACAATTTAATTCTTATTTATTTTATCAGTTTGTTAGAAACTTTGACTTTTATCAATGGTTATTTTATAAACTACTGTTCCAGAATCTATTCAAAATAATTACACTTTGAGTTTTGAAAAGAGTGTTTTGTAGGAATTTAAAGTTACTATCTAGCATATAGTTTCAAAATAACTCAAAGTCATTGTGAACTTTGTTGTTTTTAAAATATCTCAATGAACATAAGGAAGGAATGCATAACATAAAATGTAATCCTACATAGAGGCTTAGGTATAAAAACTTACTTGATTTCCCTTCCAATTATCTGATGCATTCTGTGAATAAATGTTTAGGGGAAGGGAGAAAGATTCTTCATAAAATTTAAAACCATGTATGTGTTAACATATTGTGGACTGAACACTTGGAATCAATGTCAAGAGTCACAGCAGAGAAAAATTACTGCAGTTTTTAATTGTTACTTATTTTAAAGTCTCTAACAATTAGCTATCATCTTTCCATTCTTTACCTGATTGATTTCAATCTGAATTTACTTGATCAAATGCTGTTTTATTGACCAATAATGACTTGATTAGTGGTTATCATTTAAATGTTTTATGCTCAGTGACATTTACAGGAAATTCACATAACATTCTCATCTCACTTAGAAGGAAGCTATGAAAGTGAAAGCTTTTCAACAATTCTGAATAGCATCTATTTAACATGTTTGCTCTCTTCCAAGGAGGAAGAACAAACTGCATGACATGGCACTGGAATTGATCCTACCATTATTCTCTTAACATTGATTGGTGGCAGGGGGCGGGGGGCGGTCTATAGGCTTCGAAATGATGCTCAAAGAATAATATGCTAAGTTCCTCTTCGTAGAAAGCACATTTGGCATACTGAGGTTGCACGTTCTGTACTTGAATTTATCTCCAATAAATGTGATTTTGGATGTAGAGAACTATTAATGCTTCAGATTGTTGCCAAACATAATATGAAGAACCACTTACTCAGACACCTGATCTTTTAGAATGCAGCATCGTTTGTAACAATTTTAACGCTAACTAAGTACACTTTGATGAGACAGCATTTAATAAAATGCTCATTAATTTCATCATTAGCAAGGGTATGCTAAGAAGTAAGCCAGTTTCTTATGTCACGCCCAATTAGCATCCCATGCTAGTAATCCCATTAGTATTGTTGAATTCACTAATGGAAAACCTAATGGGCATGGTACCAGGGCACATTAATTGGGCACGACACCAGTTCTGGTTTTAATTATTAAACTGCGATAATGAAATGTGTGTTTGTAAAATATTTAAATGTTGAAATAGGGTTGAAGAAAATAAAGACCATGCAGAGAAAAAGAGAGAAGGAAAGCCAGCCTATGAATATTCAAGGGCTAGAAAATGGACTCACCAAATGGCCGTTTTTTTCTAGCCGATCGAGTTGTCTCTAAAAGTTGGGATATTGTCCGTGAGAGAAGCAACCCATTCATACCCATGGGAAGTTAAAAGCTGTTTTTTGGTGATATGAAATGCTGTGTGTCATCCGTGTTGTCACACACTCTGTGAGGCCTGACAGGAGCCAATTAAAAGTGTAGAATGGACATGTTATGTTGCTGAAGCTATTTTAGGGAAATCTAAAGAGAAATCTTTTAAATGGTATGATTAACATTGTGCTGTCTGTGATATAACTCTTCAGCCATATTATATTAGATAACTGTCAGTTTTCTCTTTTTGAAAAATGTTATACCAAAATAAGTAGTTTTGTGAAACGTTCCAAGTAATTAAGAAAATATTTTAATAATATTTTATCCAGTCTTATTTGGGGTTTTTAAAATTTGTTATTGATTAAAGTTAATTAGTGCTAAGAAAATCAACTTTATTAAGAAAGAAAGGAAAGAAATAATTTTGTTTTTCCTTTAGAAGGTTTAGAATACTTTTCTGGTTGTTTCTTCTTTAATAGTAATAGTATTAAATGATAATGGTAATAAAGTTGGAATGTCTTTTAGTCTTATTTGCTCATTCACACTAAAAGGAATACCATTGTGTTAATCATAATATACTAAAAAGGTGTTCATTTGGCTGCAGTGTGCTGAGATAGGTAGTTCTTTTTTGTTCTTTTTTTACCCTCACTTTCTTTTTGAGAATCTCTCTTCTTGGTAACTGCCATTTCCTTGTATACACTTAGGAATTCATTTTTAACTATGATACCGTTATTGTAGGTACAAGAATAATTGCTTTATTTCAGACTGTGAAGCATTAAGCATGAAGTTTAGCCACAGCAGTTATGGTCAGTTTTTGAATAACTGGCTAATTTTTAAAGTTACTGCATTCCTCACTAATAGTGTAAGGTAGGTGAGAAAAACTGACTTGCCAGACATTTCCCTGTCTTAAAAACTATATTGACTGAATAGTATTTTATTAGTTTCAAGTTCTTGTGTTTTTTATATTTCTGACAAAAATTAAAATATGTTTTAAAATAGAAAATGTATGACCTTTCTGATGAACATACGTCATCAAAATGCACGTGCAGAACAGGGAGAACAATGGGCGGAAGTTGAGACCACTAAATGAACAACGATAAAAAAAAAGATTATATTCAACATAAAAGAAATGCAGGTGTGCTTGTGAGAAAGCCTTATTCCAAAGAGGGTTTCTTTTCAGATTTGAGCCCAGTGGCGGTCACAGAAGCGCATCCCGGGGGAGCCCGAGTGACGTCAGACATGGGCGTTGATTCCGAGTTCTGAGTGAAGCTCACCTGCATCAGCATCGTGTCAGGATGCGTGTGCGTGCGCGTGCACGTGTGCACCTACATTGGGGCGTGTCGTCATTCACCTCTTCATCCCCTTCAGGGCTCTTCAGTGGAAGTGACCACAACTAACGATGGCGGCAGACAATACAGCGATGGCAGGTGGCACGACGTGATTGCTGTTCGGCATCAGGCTTCCGGCCGGATCACGCTGGATGGGCGGTACACAGGTACGGACTGCCGGGTCGGTACCGACGGTTCTGTTGCTATGCTCAGGGCGCCGTACTTTTCCATTACCTGTGTTTTTCTACCTCTTCTTTCACCTTTTTCTCCACTCAGTCACATCTAAACCGCTGTTGAGTTTACCTTCAGTTGCGCCTAGAATGGAGTCTGGCAAGTGTGTGCTCCTCTGTACAGGGTTTCTGTAAAGAAAAAACGAGACAAAGTCATCCGTAGCAATTTTGTATCTTGTACATTTCTGTACAATTTGAAAGGGCTTGTACTTATGTTCCCTCATGTCACTTTTGACTTCCAGAGGACAAATAAAATAAAGTAAAGCAATTATTGTATGCTTTTCAGAGGACCTGAGGCCCAGTAAAGGTAAATAATTTCTCCCAATTGAGCAGTTGGTAGGCAGCATTCTTGGGGCACACAAATACCCTGTCTTTGCAAATCTAAGTTTAGTGTTCTTCCCATCCCACCCTACCTGTCGTTGTGCAATTATAAAAGTTACATTTTTTGCATGATAATGTAGGCTTTTATTAATTTATTCAGGAAATATGTAATTGAAATGAGCACCTACTGTGTGCCAGCCATTGCTCTAGGAATTCTGGACACAAAGGGCAAAATGGACATTCTAGGTGGGGGGAAGGGCAGGAGACAGAATAACTAAATGTGGAATAAGTATCAGGCACATTATGAGACTAATAAAACGGGGTAAGAGGGAATGGGGCGTGAGAGTGTGTGTGTTGGGGAGGGAATGCTTTGCTTTTATAAAAGGCTGTGAGAGACGGCCACCCTGATATGGCGACGCGTGAGCAGAGACTAAAGGGGGTAACGGGGTAAACCAGGACAGCGTTCAGCAGAAGGGTGTTTCGAGCCAAGCAGACAGTAGGCGTCAGGGACCCGAGGTGAGGCCATACCACACATGGCATGTCTAGGACCAACAAGGAGGTCAGTTTAGGAAAGGGGGTGAAGGGCCGGTGGCAGCCTGTGAGACCAGACAGACCAGGCCTGTAGGAAAGAGGACGCCATTGGAGGATTCTGAGAGAGGAGTGACATGAAATGACTTCTTTCTCTAAAAGCCACACTCCGGCTGCTCTGATGAGAATACGTTTTATGAGAACAAGGCTAGAAGCATGGAGACACATGAATAGGCTTCTGCAATAATTTTAAAATACTGGCAAAAAAATGATAGTTTTGTGAAACAGGTAAGTCATTTGGATATAAAGAGAAATCTGGAGATATTGTAAATGTTACATTGAAAAGATTTGATTGCAGTAGACCAGGCAAACTACCACCTGTGGGCCAATTCAAGCTCAAGCGTGTTTTTATAAAGTTTTACTGAAACACAACTATCTATTTGTTATGTATTGTCTGTGGCTGCTTGGGCCTGTACAGCCTGAAAAGCCTAAAATACATTCTCCCTGGCCCTTCACTGGCAGTTTGCTGCCCCTTGATGTAAAGCATGACGCTAGGTTTGGGGTCAGGGCCACTGAAAGAAGGCAGATGTCGTAACTAAGATGCACCAAACATCGGGACAAACAAATTGGGAGAGGGGCTCAGAGTTCAGTTTGAGCAAGTCAAGTCTTCGCTCCCCATGAGGCAATCGAGGGGTGAGACCCAGCAAGTTGCCACACTTGCACGTCTGAGTTCAGGGAGGTAGATTTGCAGACTAGAGATGCAAACTGGAGTTGTCGGCTAAGATGGTATTTAAAGCCAAGGAACCAGATATCCACGGGGCTCATTACAGTGGCTCGGGCTCTGAAAAGAAAATGTCCCCTCTTCCCAAAGAAGAATGGAATTAGATAGAAATCTTAACAGGAGATTTGCACTCTACTGCAACAGAGGCAGGGACCTGGGCCCGTCCTGGGCTCTGGCCCTGGTGGCTTGCACAGGTGCCCAGCCATCTGTTTACCCCTCTGGAGAACGAAGGGCCTTGTCATGGGTGGAGAAGACAATCAGAGAAGGGGAGGCCTGGGCCGCTGCAACATCACAATGTCAGGGGCAATGAGGGAGAATCCATGGAGAAAAATTAAGCGGAGCAGGCACTACGGTGAGAGGAGGGCACTACGGTGAGACAGAGTGATGCCCCAAAGCCCAGGGAGGGGTTTACTCACTTCCTAAATGAGTAGGAAAAGATAGCTCTGCTGACGCTGGGCTTCGCCTCCCTAGGCTCCTCTGGGCCCCGGAACGGCAGCAGCATCATCGGGGAGAACACGGGCGTGTTCGTGGGCGGCCTGCCGCGGGGCTACGCCATCCGGAGGGGGCATCCCGGTGAGTCTGCGCAAGGTCGAGGGTGTGGAGGTTGTCCCCAGTGCTTAGAATAGCATCAAATGGCATTACTTCAAAGTAGGAGTAATAGTGTTATTTTCTATCTCACGCTGTATTTATTTCCTCTAGCCACATGTCCAAATTTTCCCTTAGGTCTCTTCTTTTCTAAAGGAACCTTGCATGAACTCACACTGAAAATCTTAGTGACCAGTTCGTGATACGTAAACATTTATTAAACTTTTGCTTAAATGAATTATGGTATTTTAGCATTGTATGTCAAATTTTTTTTTGAGATTTTAAATTGAACATAAAACAACACGCAAATGGAAAACTAGGAGCTTGATTTTCAGTTTAAATTGGGTGAAGAAAGTTTGCCGAGTAGAGACCAGGCTGCTTGAAAGGCAGTAACTAACTCACCCAGTCGCGGGATACGCACAGGTGAATAACACGGGGCCTTTGCTGCGACAGAAGGGGCAGACACGTCAAGAGATGATCCCGCCTTATGCCATGAGTGCTGTAGTTGGGGCAGAGACCAAGTGATTCCTCTGTTTTAGGAGAATAGAACAAAACCTGTGAAACTAATAAAACGAATGTGAGTGAAATTAACCTTAGGCAGGAAAAAAAGCCCTTCCTAGAAATGAGAGTAAAGTATTGATTGACTTGTATAATAGACCAGTTTATTAAGATGAGGGGACTAAACTGGATAGATTTAATAGAAATACATCCTTCAAATGTTACTTTTATAAATGTGATAGCACGTTTATTTTTAAGACCAGTGGCAGATGAAACATCCTTGTTAGGTCAAAAGCCATTATTCTTGCTAGTACTATAAAACCAAGTTTTATTTTGCTTTAACATCTGCTTCTGTGTATATGATGGGTCTGAACCAGGGCTAAACATTATAATTGTTAGCACTTAGCATAGCTGGTGGTGTTGTGTTTACATGAATCATTAAGGTTTTGTAATAAATAGGTAGAGAGAGCTATTGCCTGTTTCTTATCATTGCACATAAATTAATTGCTTGAAAAGAATTTTCAAAAGCTGTGTTTCTTGGTATCTATTAACTCCTGCAGACATAATCCGCAAGGGCTTTGTGGGCTGCCTCAGGGACGTGTATTTTATGAAGAGGTACAGTCCCTCCGCTCTCTGGGAGCCACTGGTTTGGCAGAATTCTGAAGAGCAACTCAACGTGCACAATGTCTGGGAAGGGTGCCCCTCTTCCTTACAGGGGGGCGCCCAGTTCCTAGGAGCAGGTAAGGTTCTCAAGCAGCTGCGGGGCATTGCTTAGCACTCCTGTTCTGTCCTTGGCGCCATTTAATCTCTCCTGTCCAGTTGCGTTGACCCCTTATGAATACCTAGTTATGCCATGATGCCCATCAATATATGCTCGAAGTTTGAGTGCATAATATAAATTGTAAGACACGTGAATATACGCATATAATCATGAGTAAGCTTTGTGGTGGCCCAAAGCAGCTCCCAGTTTACATGTGCTAGTGTCAGAAATGTCCATTTGGAAGTCAGTTGTTTTACTTAGAATAAAACTTACTAGAAATGTGTTTCAGAGGAACTACCAGGTTAATCCGCAAATACCTATGTATTTTATTACGTAGACAGACACTATTTCTCAGCGTAAAATTTCAGCTTCATGATGGGGGAAGTAGGTCACTGAAGGAGAGCTAGGGAGTGGGACCGCCCTCACTGCCATTTCCCCAAAGGCTGTGGCAGAGGTGGCGTGGTGTCCCCTGCCCGTCCCCACCTACAGCTTCTGCCTGGCAGCCCTCCAGGAAATGGGGATGGGGACGGGGAAAGGAACATGGCGGTCTGGTGGGCATGCCTTGTTCTTCAAATAAAGATCCACCTTTGCCTCCTGCCTTTGTAACAAAGTTGGTCAGTTATTAAGTTGCTTAAACTACATTCAGAATAGAAAGCTCCATGATCTCATAATCTGTACACTTTTTCATTGCTCTTTCTCATCGGCATTTTCAGAGTTTTTCTGAAATCAATGCAAATGCTTATTGCTAATACTTAATGTAAATCAGTAAAAGCCTTAGTTGTATCCATGATTTAGACAATAAATTGCTTCCTCTTAAAAAGTATGTCAGCTTCATTCTGTCACTTCTGTACAATTAAAAGGGGGATTTCTTAATATTGAATCGCACCTTCTTTTGTGAGAGACGCACGCAAGGCTATTAGTACATGCCCCAAGGGCGTCTTACAACACGCATACGAAGCTGGCTTTCCACACGCTCATGTGTACATATTCTTTCCTTTAAAGGGTTCCTGGAACTTTATCCAGACGTGTTTCGTGGCGGACTGGACTTTGAGATTTCCTTTACATTCAGAACAGACCAGTTGAATGGATTGCTTCTTTTCATTTACAACAAAGATGGACCTGATTTTCTTGCTGTATGTTAATTAATTTAATTAAATTTACTTTGCAGTGTCAGATCCCACTTTAAAATAAATAAACCAGAAGCTCACGTTATACTAAATTGGGGTTTCTTCTCCAATTTATTTATGTTTTTATATTTTTCCCCCAAGTAATTTTCAGTGTTGGAGTCCTATGAAGCATTTTGTATTTTAGGATCATGATGATTTTTTTAAATGACTATTATTGCCAAGAAAATTATAATTTTAACACAACGGTATAAGGGATTAAAATCCATTTTACTATAATAGTATAAAAGTGCAGTGAACATTCATGAGCCTAGCACCCAACCCAAGAATTAAAATAGTATCCATTTTTTTCTACCTACCTCTAGGGTCCCTCCTAACCCACTGCCTTGTCTCCCTCCAGAGCGTACATAATCAAAATTTTGTGTTTATTATCATCTGGCGTGCATATACTTTGAATACCATGTATTAATGCCCAAAAATTCACTTTTGACATTGAGAAAAGTAGTATTATACTCTTATTTCCCCAAGTACTAGTTGCCCCAGATTTTCATGAAATCCTCTGGCTTCTCCAAGATCATTGTCACCTTAAATAGATTTACTCTACTTTCCCTGAAAACATTGGCCTTAACCAAAGATTCTGTATTCTTTTCCTTTCTCACTCTGTTTACACTAACTGCATGATTTCATTGATCTCATCATGAACTTTTTCCATTTTACTGGCCTGTCTTTATGTTCCACTGCCTCAAGAACACTTCATTCTGGATGTCTTACAGGCATTCAGAACTCTTTAGGCTTAAAATTGAACTCACCCCTCTTCCTGATAAAAACAACAATAGGCAGTCTTTCTTTCTAATGCTTTCCTTATCATGATGGTGGTAGAACACACACCAGCAAGACAGAGCGTGTGTGACCTTGGCTGACTTCATTCTTGGAACACATTCAGCTGTTTGCCAGATACCCACACGGTTGCTTTTTAAAATCACACCTTAGATTGAATTTTCACTATTATTATTATTATCCTTATTTTAATCACTCTCATCATTTTTTTCTAAAATTTTAGTGATTCCCTAATCGGTTTGTTTTCCCTTCAGTTCTAGCCCACCTTTTATTTTCAGTGTGTACTTGCTACGACTGGGAGGGCGAACTGTTAACTAAGATAATAGTGGCCAGAATGTGGGTGTTGCTGGCAAAACAGACAAGAGAAAGGTGAACGTTTTTCTTTATCACTCAAATTCTTCCAAAATCTTGCTTCTGCATAACTGGCAGGTCTTTTCGTAACCTCCCCCCCATCTAATGAACTTGTACAAGTCCACGTGCCATTGAATGTGTCAGCCCCCTGCTTGGGTGAGCCTCCGCGGTTCTTACATACGTGTGCGTCAGACCTTGCCCACCTCCCTGGAAGCTCTCGCGTTGCATCCTGCCCTAGTGCCACTTCACATGCTTGCCTTTGCTATGAGTGTGACTGTGGAGAAGAGCGTTTACTTCAGAGCAGCAAGTCCGTGGAACATGGCAAGAGTTTCAATATTTATTGGATGAATGAGTAGATAAATGAATAACTGCTTACCTGATGTGCTTCACAAAGATATATTTACTTGGCAAAAATAATCATCTTTATCTGGCCTTGTTTGTTTCATTAGATAGGATTGACCTCAAATTTTTAAGTATCCTGCGGTTGCTGATTTGATTTCTAACCAAATAAAAACATAGTAGGTAAAATAATCACGAACGGTTGTGAAGGAAAACATATTGGAGGCATTTCTTTTGTCGTGAAAATTTGGGCAAGATACGCTTGTACTGGAAAACGACACCTTAATCTAAAAGGAAACACGGAGAAGCATTTATGTTAGTTAGAGATCTAGAATTAAAACTGAAATAGTGAATCAAAATACATCTTAAAATTTTGAAATTGAGTTCACCAACCAGTTAAAATAAGCTTAATCAAGGCTGGCATTTCATTTCTTACTGTTTTGCCATATTTTTCCCCCAAATTAAATTGATATATGAAATACTATTTGCTCATTTTCTAAGATCTCAAAAATAGCAGTACAAACTATTCTTCTCTTCAGTCACTTATGCTAGTGTTTAATCTCTATCTATGTTTTTACCCCCCAAAAAAGGTCCTGCCGACATCGTATTGTATCATATCATATAATCATTACTGGGTATAAATTTATTTGACCCAATACAAAATTCCTCATGTCAGTCATAAGCCTGCAAAGTACCTCATTGTGTGTGGCTCCAGTTTGGCTTAGGACAAAGTGGAATATTTTTATAGAATGCTTTCAGGGACATTTCTTGCTTTTCTTCAAGCAATTGGCCTTCTGCTTGCCCCCAAACTGCCACTCTGAAGTCTTCTTCCATCTGTGTTCTTTCTCACTATGCGATGCAGGTGGAACTGAAGAGTGGACTTCTGAGCCTCCGGTTAAACACCAGTCTTACTTTCACCCGCGTGGACCTGTGGCTGGGGCTGTCCTACTGCCGTGGAAAGTGGAATAAGGTGATCGTTCAGAAGGAAGGTCCCGTGGTCTCAGCAAGTGTGAATGAGCTGATGGAGCGTGTGTCTGAGTCCAGAGCCCAGCCGCTGACCGTGAATTCCCCCATCTACGTGGGAGGAGCCCCATCGTGGCTGCAGGACTCTTACAAACACCTGAGTTTGGAACCAGGTAAGCACCACCTGGAGGAATCCCCAAAGCATGACAGCCCTGGTCTCAGCCAGGTTTTGGGGGTCCTTTGTGTCAAGGGAAAAGAGTCAGGCTGCAAACAACATCCACCCACCCCTTTATTGCAAAATGTTAAGCTCTTAAAGAAAAAATGACCACTTCTTGAAATAGTTTTATATGTTGCCCGTAAGAGTGTGCCCTCATACATAATCAGTATATTTACAAATGCATTGCCTATTTATTAATCAGTTCATTTATTCTAATATGTCAAATTGTGTATTTATAATCAATATATTTATTCTATTATGTCTTCATAAAATTTTATTGTAACTAATACACGGTACATTGGTATGGCTCACATGTTTTCCTTGAAAACACATGTGGTTCTGGTTCTTTTGAATACTGATCACTGTATTTACAGACTAAAAAAATAAGTTAGGTTGGTGTGCACAACTAGAAAAAAATGCCATTCAGCTACCTAGAAAATAACTAGGGTTTTTTTCTGACTTAAATGCTAATTGTCTCCATGCATTTCAATGGTGCTCCCATGCAACAGAGCGCACAAGAGGCGGTTTAGCTGAATTTCAAACATACTTGTGAAAAATCTCTCATTGATTCTTAATAACCATGAGGGAAACAAATGTTCATGAGTGTGTGCATCATAACTAAAGCAACTTTTAACCCATGTCATGGGTTTTAACATAATCAGAGGAAAAAATAACTCACGTAACTGATAGTATTTAACTCATATAGTGAGTGAACACAATTACAGAAACTACTAATTTTAAAAAGCTAACCATGACTGAGTGCGTTCTGTGTGCCAGGCATGGTTCAGAGAGCTGTACCTTAGAGGGAGGGAGCTCTTCCTAACAAGCCTGCGAGTGAGGTGGTGGTGTCTGTAGCCCCATTTCCCAGGTGAGGAACCCGAAGAGCAGAGAGGAAAGTCATTTGCCCAGGGTCACAGGGCAGGTAGCAGATACACAGCAAGCCCACCGGTCAGGCTTCCTGGTGTCAGAGTCCACTTTCTTACAAGAAACGTTCTCTGTATGGACCGGGGCCAACGGTCCTGCTCTGTAAAGTGGGGGAGCAGCTTGGGGAGCAGCGTGCTCCCACGCAGAAAATGCTCTCTGCGTGTTCCACAGTCTGTGCTCTGTGAATGGGTAAAATGTCCATGAAGCAGTTTTTGCCTATTTGGTGAGTACATAAAGATTTAAATGCCTCTGAATGGAAAATATATGGCATGCTCTAAGAAGACTTGTAGAAGGGTACGAGTGAGGAGTTAATGAATATCTGAGGTGGAAGACAGTAATGACATTTTCAAGGCACTTAACGTGTAACAGAAGCTGGAAATATTACATTCATATAAAGGCTTCTCCTGATTTTCAGGTTTCAGAGGTTAGAAAGAGCTTGAAAACCCTTTATATGAGCAAGATTCCTTGACCTTATTTACCTCTAGGGGGAAAATGCCTGCCTATCAAGAGCTATGCTTCCCAACAGCCATCGCCACAGTGGCCCTAGAGGCGTGGCCTAAACTGGAAGGGTAATAATATAAGGCTAGAAGTTTAAAACATCAGCATGGGCCCCAGGGGAAGAATTTAATCTACACTATGACTAAATCTGTAATACTGAAAGGCATTTTATTGATGGGTAATACTCAATTTTTATCATTGCACTGTCAGCCACATCATTGGTTCTCCAACCACTGATAAAATATGAAGTGTGGTAGCTGGGACACAGTAAGAACTCCATACAATTAGCTGCTGCTATTATTATTATCCAAGATACATTGGAATTCCCTGGAAATGTTACTAAAAATGCTTATGTTATGACACTGCTCCCTGTGATTCGAGCTCAGATGCTTTGTGTGATACTGATCTTTATAAGTAACTACATGTTCTATACAGAGATCGGGAAAATACCCACCATGTAGAGGTGCTGTGTACGTGAAGTATTTAAATTGCGATTCAAATTAATCCTGTTCATGTACTGTATTTTTAGTCCATTATCAACATTCTTAAAACTCTTCTTACGCTTTTCAATTAGCACCTCTTTTCAGAGGCTCTATTTTGTGGTCATATTAGGCCTCTTTTTTTTCTTCCCCCCTTCTCCATTGATGTTATGTTCCTTTGAATCAAATGCAAATTAATATTTCTCTGTGTTTTTGGAATGCTGGGCACCATATTTGCTGAAGATGTACCAGCTCAGGTCCTGTAGCTTAGGGCGTGCTGCCTAGAACCATCACGTGGGACTGGTGCCGACCCCAGGTTGGAAGTGAGGTGACGGCACGGCGCAGGGTGGCCTCAGGTTCCGTTCTGTGGAGGGCGCAGGCGTGGGGCCGATGCCAGCCTTCCTCCAGGCCAAGAGCCCGGGGTTGGACTGCTTCCCTCAGAAGGGCCACCGGCTGAATTGTCAAGCCGGAGTTCTGGGCCACCTTTTAATTATTTGGAGGCCTAGGGGCGGGGATAGGAGTGGGAAGGTTGGTTTGTTCATCTGTTTGTATTTGATTCTCACAAAGGCAGGGAAGCAAGAAAAGGAGGAATCTACTCTCCTCCCACAAGCAGGCCCTCGCTCCTCTTATCCTCACACCCCATTCAAATTTGGAAGGAAGCCAGGGGGTATTCCCGGTGGGGCTGTTTCTCAGGGTACAGGCTCTTCTCGGCTCTGACTGCCCTGAGGGGAGCCCAGCGAGCCCCACGCTCACGCTCCTGTGCCTTTACCTCTGGGGTCCGCGGACGGAGCGCGGCTTCCCAGTGAGACCTCACAGACTTCCCGCTGTGACTCCAGGCCATTTTCTCTGTCTCCACAGTGAGGGAAGATGCTGTCTGGGGCCTTCCCTAAACTGAAAATTGCATCCTGTAGAATAGTTTTTAAGACTTTTTTCCTTAAAATTTTAAAAATCATGCAGAAATCAACAAAGTCTTACCATATGAACCATTTTTAGGTGTGCGGTTCTGTGGGATCAAGTGCACACATGTCACTGTGCAGCCCTCCCCGCCATCTGCCTCCGGGATTCTTTCTGTCTGCAAACTGCAGCTCCATGCCCCTTACACAGGAGCGAGACGCTTCTCACAGCAGCACCTCGGTGTTTGCCAAAGCTGCCTGTCCACCGTCGGTGTTTTGTTGGTAGACAGGGTACAGAGAAGTTAGGCGATTCAGCTCCATGCCGTCGGAAGGTTACTGGTGAAGAAATTAGAATTCTTAGCTTTTGAATATTCAAGCAGATGCTTTGTTGAGCTTCATTCCTTTTAGTTCAATTCACCCAACTTATTGAGTGTCTACTGTGTGTTCAGGATAGACTAGTGGTATTGATTGGTCGGGCCTAAAAGAAGGCAGATAATAGCAAAGGCTTTTAAAAGGAAAGAGGCTGCTACTGAATGTGTTTGGAGACATAAGAAGACATATAAATGCTGAAGAGAACAGTATGGTCGCTGTTACTATTACATTATTTTACTGTTCAGCATTTGCTTGATGTTTTATTTCTACTTTCTGTTGAGGCGCCTTAATCCTGGAAAGACCTAATCACATGCTCAGGGCCTTTTGAACTTGACAGAGCTTTGTCCAGAGTGTGCGTGAGTGCGCGCGCGCACGCAGACTACAACAGTCCCAAACGCAATCTGCCCATTTCCTCTTCTACCACTTTGCGCAGTTTTCTGAGCAGAGGACTGACTGCCAGACCTCGTGAGGCCGATCTCTGTTGACACAGACTAGCGTGGGATCAGAGCCGCTGTGCGTCCCTGGCTGGCTGGCTGGCTGGCTGGCCGGCTGGCCGGCTGCCCCATGGCCTTCCCCATCCGTTTCCTCTGTGTTCTGTGTTCAAGCTCACAGGCCTGAGCTGCACCACGGTCATGCTAGAGTCAGCCGTGCCGACGGCACATCTAACAACACCTCAGGTGTTGCCCTTGCCGCGCTCAGTCCTGGCCGTGCTAACATAAACCCCACTGCAGCACCGCTTCATGGACTCCCGGTTCTGGAGCTCCATGACAGTGGCCACGCACAGCCGCAGCCCCTCTGTCTGTGGCTGCGACTGGCACTTAGTTCTGTGCCCCTGAAGTGATGACTGCGGAGTTCATGGCAGTGTTGCAGGATTCTAGGGTATTTTGAAGCTCTACTCGCCCACCTGTTATCCTGCGTAATATCCTCTAAGGGCCTGTTTCCCCAGTGATCTTGTTGAATAATTTTTCTACTTCAAATATTTATTTTTTGACCCATAAACCTGGACTTCTGTAGGGAATTCCGTTTGTTAGAATTGTGGGTATGCGAATACCCCCTGCCATAATGTGGAATTGCCTAACTGTTGTCCCTGTGGCATATACGCAGTGAGAAAATGTGTGTAAGAAACACTTTCAGATGAATAGAAGTCAGTTGAATTATACTCATCAGCTTATTTTTTTTTCAAAATAACACAATTATTTCCTTGTGACAACTTAGCCTGATAAAAAGCAAGAGGAGGCATCAAGGATTTCCCAAAGGAGACTTGAAAGTTTAAAAATTGCTATCAAAAGCACCCCCTCCCCATGAAAACGCGCCGCAGAGGACAGGAGCGACGGTCACGAGTGGCCCCGGCCCGCCGCGTGATGCGGTCTCTCACCATTGCCAGGTTTCGGGGGCTGCGTGAAGGAGGTGGCGTTTGCACGGGGTGCTGCCGTTCACTTGGCGTCTGTGTCCAGCGGTGCTGTCAGAGTCAATCTGGACGGGTGCCTGTCAAGTGACAGTGCCGTTAACTGCAGGGGAAACGACTCCATCCTCGTGTACCAGGGAGGAGGGCAGCGCGTTCGTGAGCATGGCCTCCAGCCTTTCACAGGTAACACAGAGGCACTCGGTGTGGGCCGCTGCACGCCTGCACCGTGGGCCCTCCCCCACCCTCCCGCCCCCACCCAGGCCCACGGCTCGTCTGTGTGACTGACATTTTACTCCTTCTCCACCTCCTTTCCACCGAAGAATACCTGTATCGAGTGATAGCCTCACACGAAGGCGGTTCTGTCCGTAGTGATTGGAGTCGGGGACGAACCACAGGAGCAGGTAAGTATCCTTTATCTTCAAACATATCTGTGCCCATACATGCATGCGTTTGTGCGTCCATGTCTGTGCAGGTGAAGAAAGGGCAAGGCCCTCACTCTGAAGCAAGGGGTATGTTTGCAGGCTTGTGACAGAGATGCCTTGGCTGGCAGATGCATCTGCCGATGGCTCAAATCAGTGCTTTTGATTTTTCAAGCATTTAATAAGTATTGGCCCAGGCTTGATTCTTACCGCTGAGGATGCAGAAAGAAGTTGCACATGGTTTTAGGGATTTAATGGGCCTGTATCTACAGGAATAGAGCCAAGGTCAGGAGGCCTTCATGGACAGCAGAGACTCCAGGAAGCTACAGTCGGGATCACCGTTAAGTGGGGGTGGCGGCCCCTTGCCTCTATGCTGCAGAAGGAGCATGAAACCTGTGCCCTGGTTGGAGGCACGTGTCTTGTACCCCATCATGACAGATGTCTGCCATGGTGTTGACTTTAGGATCTTAGAATGACATCTCCCAGGATAGAAGTTGCTGATTGGTCTAATTTTTTTGAGTTAGCAGGGAGACAACTAGGAGCTAGATAGAATACTCGTCTCAGGCAACTGATTTGTAAATGCATTGAGCTTCTGACAGTGACCAAAACGTCTTTTTACAGAATGTCATCACAGGAAGGCATTCATCACAAAAAGTTTGGGGAATCCGTACCCTTCTAACCTTTTGGGTCAAATATCTGTCAGAAAGGCAAATACATTTCCATGATTGCCACTTAAATCTCTTATCCTGTGTCCTTAGCAAGTTACAATTCATCTAAAGATATGTTCTTCACTAAGATATTCTCTCTTACGTTTTATCAACAATGGGTTTCTAACCCAGGCATCTTTTGCAGAATCTTGTTAATGTAAAATATAATTAAATTCCAAGATGAGCTACTAACAATAATTTTCAAAGATCTCTGCCTCTCCGATTTTCCAGAACAGGACAGCTTGACACTTTTCCAGGATGACTTAAATTATCACGTTTGTAGGCAAGACAATGAATTGAATGTTCTCTTCAAATGTTATTATTCAACTTCAGCACTTGGAGCGAGCTCTGATATAAACCGTGCATTTGTTGCCGGCTTGTCCTCTGGCCTATTTCACACGCCTCTGCTTTGTTAACTGATACACTATAAAGCCTGCATTCAGTTTAATTCAGTAAACAGGTATGTAGAAAGTGCATTGCTTACATAGCTTAGTAGCCTCCATTTTGAAGACCGCTGAGAAAGGCTGCAAATAGGGCTCTGCATTTATAACAATGATCTGACCACAAAGGCTTAAGCCATAAATTCATATTTACAATCTGACCACAACACTGAGCAGCTACATGCTCCCAGGGGTGGGAGAATAATTGCACTATTTAATTATTTTTGAGTCAGTTTTGCTCTGTCCCCTATGAGAAGACCATCTGTTAGCCAGTCCTGTACTCTGCCCCGTACCACATTTCAGAACTAATAAAATCAGCATCGTTGCCGCTGTCCCTGTACTGGCAACTGGGCCGCTCGGCCCACAGGCTGTCCACGGGCGCCCACGGTGTTCTACCTGCAGAGACACTGGCTGTCCTCCTGGGGGCTTCCCCTCATCCTTTGTGCTCCCATTGTTTCCCGGGAAGCTGTCCTATCTCGCTGGTCTGAACAGTCAGGTCCGACCTGGGGGGCATCTGATGTGGGGAAACGGAGCACCCCTCCAGCACCCGGGCCCCAGCGCCCGCGAGCAGCCAGAGCAGGCCCGCCACCCATCATCCCGCCAGGGGCTTCCTTGGGCGTTTTCTCAGGGTCCCCGTGCCGTCAACCGCGATGGAGTTTCTACTCCTCAGCCCCTTGGGATTATGTAAGAACTAGTTAAAGGTATGGATTTTTAAAATAGTGGGGCACAGCTTGTAAGTGAGGGTGTGCAGTTGCTTTAAACGTCCTCGTTGCGTGTTAGTGTTTTGTGATGCTCTGAAGAAAGCGCCCTGGAAAGTGATTGTGTTGGACCTCGAGGCACAATCTTCTCTAACCTGGGAAAGCGTTTTGCGATGTATCGGTAAATCATAGCTGATAGAATTTTGATTTTGTAAAATTAATATGAAAACGATTGAATTTGGAGAATGAGATCAGGTGTTCAAGAACAATGCCATCACATTTGTGATATTTTTTGGCTAACACATTGAAGATATAAAAGTGTCAAACCACTGTGTATAATAACACACTAATTATCTTGCTTCGAAGGGGTCCATCATTACATCGTTTGAGCTTGTTCTCTGCCCACCATCCACCTCCTTCTTTATGAGTGATGTTTAAAACATGTCGGCTACATTAAATATTTTGGGAAAACCTGGACTAGACTTGAAAGAACGTTCTGTCGATGGAGTTTTGATGGTTTTGAAATACCACTTAAACCGAATGGCTCAAGATGTGCAGTCATATTAAATCAATGCTGAAAAGTTACAACTCTAATAAATTGTATTTATGCTAATGGTTGAGTCTGATTTACGGCGGCCATTAAAAGTGAAGAATGGGGCCGTAGTCTTCTCAGCACAGCCCTCTTCCCTATTTTCTCTTTCATCCTTGCGCAGCTCCACGGAGCATGCCGCCTCCCTCCGGAGTCCGCGGCATAAATGGGCACAGCGTGGACGTGACCTGGGATGAACCCGTTGCGGTGAGAGGTGTCATTGAGAAGTACCTCCTGAGAGCCTACCAGGAGGGGGGCATCCCCCGCCCACGCCGCACGCCCGCTGCCACGTTGGAGCTTGTCAACGCCAACGCCCGCACAGGTAACGGCGATGCCTTATCAGAGTAAATCTCACTCATTTTCTTTTTGTTTGATGTTAAGTAAAAGCAGCCTTCAAGGTCCGTCCCCCCCCCGCACAGATCTATTAATTATTCATCAATTTTTGCCTGATTAAAAACAGGAACCATCTAATGAGATGGGAGCCTGTATCCACCTCAGAGCAAAAGAAGAATTCTATAATATCATGGCTTTTACGCACAGTTTCATTACAGGGTTGCTAGTCTCTCTATCCCAGAAAGGCTAGTTCCCAGGTGATTGTACCCCTTCAGACTCTCTTGGCACCTCTAGTGATCCCGCGCGCACGTGCATCAGCAGCTCACCTATGCCGCCACACAGAAGTTTACTCCTTGGGGCCGGCCCAAGCTCGCAACACTATCGCTTATTGTAAAATTGTTGATTAAACTTAATCATGTCCAGGTGGAGGAGCATCAGAGCGCCAGGAGTTTGACGGGTGTACCAGTGGGTCGGTTTCTCACAGGCGGCCTACCGTGCGGCCCTGTTGGAGTGGGTTAGACTCATGCACACCACACACGCCCCCGACTCAAACTCGTGAACGCAGGTAGTAAGGCAGCAGTTTGTAGCTTCACAGCAGTTTATAAAGCACCTTTAAATGGAAAAGTCGAATTGAAGCTTTTGACCAAAAAAAGTAAAATGCATCAAAAAAGCTGATAGAAATTTTTTTTTCCCCTCTATCAATGAATTTTGTAACTTTTGTAAAATCCCATGGATTTTAGAGTAGCCTTAATTATCTTTCTGGCATTTCTCTTGGTCCACCCCCGTCTCTAGTCCTTACTTCCTTTTTTAGGCTGTTTAGACTCTACAGCTCAAGTATATCAAAACATTTTTTTTTAAACTCATATCTTTACTTGCTTCGTCTTCATTTTAACCACCCGATAAAAATTCACCCTGATGTTGTCCACAGTTTGACTTCGTCCAGGCTGCCCATGGTAGCCAAGTGGGCTAGGGGCTAAAAGTAAAAGTTTATCACTGAAAATTCTCAATCTGCGTTTTCCAGGTGAGCACTTGGTGATGACACAAAACCTACCCCATTTCTGTCATAAGCTCCTTCTTCATATTAAATATTTTATATTTTCCAAACTATCTAAAAGCTAACCTAACCTCCCTTCCTCATCCCACTCGGTGGATATTTATAGTTCATCCTCTTAAACACCAGAGAAGAAACTTGAATCTACCATATGGGATTTCTATCACTTTCTTACAACCAAGCGTATACGCTAACAGTATTCTTCTAACTGATAGGATTATTATTAGGGTTTAAGTGAATTGATACATGCTAAAGCATTTAAAATAATCTTCAGCATATAATAGACATCTGCCGTCACCATTCTTTTCATTTTTATTTTTTGATTTTCTCTCTGTCTCTTCCTGCTTTTACAGAGCTTTCCTTATCCTATCAAAAATAAAATCCTCTGGTCCCAACTCTTGTGACTTTTCAGGGATGTCACTGATGGGTTTGCGCTCTCCCCACTGCAGTGGTTCAGAGTTGTGAAGCAAGTAGGCAAGGGCAGATGTGGAAGGCAGCCGTAAAGATTCTGGAGGATTCTAGTATTCTCAGGTGGGCTTCTGTTGCGCAGAATCAGGGTATGGGAGGCGGGCCATGAATTGAGAGGCACCAAAGCCAGCTTGAATAATTCTCCAAAGTCAGAGACTTAGACAGTAAAGAGACAGGAATACCAGGGAGTGAGAGGGGAGGGGTGGGAAGGTAGAGGGCCTGAGGGCGGCATCTGGTGGAGGAGTGAGGAGTGTGGAGATCCCCGAGTAGCGGCTGTGTCCCGGGCGGTTGAGTTGACCAGGTGCTGAGAGAGGGTAACAGGGACTTGTTCATGAGCAGCGTTGCCCTTGGTGTTCTAAGTAATGTTCCATTAGCATTTCATTGGTAACTTTTGTTGAAATTGTAATGCTTAATTGTGGTCATTAGAGTGGTATTTATTTGGGTTTGTTTTTTCAATGAAACAGTGATGATATTGGATGCACAATTTCGCTTTATTGGTTCACATTGGGTTCTTTGCCAATTAAGTTCAGAAATATATCAGAAAATACATTTGCTTGTTTTCTTGTTATAGAGCAACTCTTTCCTTCAAATTTGGGTCTTTTTTTGGCTTAGAAAGGTTGAAGTTGTTTATAGGATCATTACTTCCAGTGAGAAATAAGTTTTCCATATTGTCTATTTCTTCCCAGTTTTTATTTTAGTAGTCCAGAACACAGCTTGTAGAGTCAAATCAGTCTACGTTCAAGCTATAGCTGTATCCCTTGTTAGCTGTATATTCTCAGGCAAATTTAAAGACATAGGTAAAAAATAAATTCCCTAAATATTTTGCTCAGAAATGGGCACGTAATAAATGCCCAATGAATTATCTTTATGTTATTTAATCTCTGCATTCTAGATCATTGTTTCACAATTTTTTCCCTTTCATTTTTCTTAAATTTGCACTGTTGAATCTACCCTTTGAGCCTTTTAAGATAATTTAAAATGTTTTTCTATGTCTTTTACATAATTTGCATTTGTTCCTCATCTCATCCAGCTTGTTTTGATTACTGCCTCCCTCTCAGTATTTTCAGTTTTCATCTCTTTTGTTTGACATGTACCTTCTCTCTCGTGTAATGGATTCCAAGTTTTTTAGATCTTATGCATAGTAGGAAACTGCTGATTTTTAAATGTACGGGTTTTCTGAATTAAATCCTCCCCAGAGCATGGCAGTGCTCTGTAGCTTGGGTTACAGATGGCTTTCCTCGAGCTAAATGCATCCCAGCACCCCCATCGAGCTAAATTCAGCCCCCCCATCCCCCCACCCGCCCGCCGCCTGTAGAGTTCAGTTGTCCCATCCCGAAGTTTGTCACCAGACCTGGGTTTGCTCAACAAAATTCAGTCATTTTCAAATTATTTCACGGGACACCTTGTGGTTAATAAAGACCTCCCCTGGGGTAACGATGGGGTCAACAGGTGAACGTGCAGCTTCCTCTTTTTCGGTATTTCAAGAAGGAGTGCTGCTAAGACCTCACAAACACTTTGGACGCAGGTTCAGACTCCTTTTGCCTGAGGCTCTCCTCCAAGCATCCATTGGTCTTTGTGCCGTCTTTGTAGGTGTTTATAAACCTTGGTTGTTACACTGGGATGCCTGTAAGGTAGTAGTTCTCCACTGTGGTGCACACCCAGCTCCCAGGAGCTTTCAGAAACACTGGTTCCTGGGACCACCTGCAGACGGTTTCAGTTTTTGGACCGGATGGTAGCCTGGGTGTTGTCATTTGGGTATTTTTTCAGTGTAAAGCCAGCGTTGGGAAACGCTGGTAAGGAGGGGGTGCTGACCAGTGATGAAGCCTGTTTACCCAGAAATTCTTACGGCAGCCTCGGCCTCCCAATGGAGACTTGGAAATGTAGGACAAACCATGTTAGTTGTCCATAGAAAAAGGGTAAAATGCTGTAATGTGTAGAGAAAATGAGCACAGGAAAACCATACACGAAAAATAAGTGCAATGATAACTGGGAAGAAGTAATACGTGATGGTCGCGCTTACAAAATGCAGAAGGCAAACAGAAGGAAAAAATGAATATTAACTACGGTAACTGGGTGGCTGGAATAGTGAGATGGAATATTTCCCACTGATGAATTTGCCTATCAGAGGACTCAGTGAGGGAAGCCCCAGAAGCAGGGAGAGTCCAAGCGTTAACAGCCCCTCTCATGAGCTCACAGGCCCCCGGGGGCCGCAGTGTCCGGCTCGACGCCCCGCCGGGCCAGGGTTCGGGCGCAGGGAGTTCCTGCAGGTCTGTTTCCGCAGCCGCAGCGCCAGGGCAGGAGGGCCTGCAGTTCCCGCCCCAGTGTGTCTTCAGGCTTCCTGCAAAGGCCGCCGATTAACTGCTCGCGGCGGCCGTTTCTCCCTCCAGCCCTGTTAACATGCGGGGCTGCTCCCAGAGAGTCGGCCCTGGCCTGTGCCTGGCACCGGGGCTGCTCACGGCGGGACCTGGCAGTGGGCTATGAGGTTCTCTCAAGAATGTGCACGCATGCGATATTTTTTTCCTCTTTTTTTCCTTAAGGTGTTTAAACATGTAAACTTTTCATCACTGTTTGTAGTGCTAGGGATATCACTGTTACAGAGACTGTATTCTCTCAATTTTATTATTGCATTACATTGAGCTAAAGACTAGGGAGTTCTATTCCTTTCTCAAAATAGAATAATGGATAATAATAATAGTTATTATTCCCTGTAATTTAGCAAAAGAACCAATAACAATCTATCAGATAACCAAAGAAATCTAAATTTATATAGAAAAAGAAAGATATTCTAGTTTCTAACCCAGCTTTTTCTTGAAAACTAGCTCAACCTGCATATGCAGTAGTTGCTCATCTTCTACAGAAGCAAATGGGTTACATACTGAATATGTGTCTCATTTTTCTTTCTCTTCCACAGCTAGTGGTAATAATTAGTGATTCTCGACTGTATGGGTCATGAGGCGAGTCCTGAGTTGCTTAGGAATGCAGATTCCTGCTCCTGCGTGTCTGGGCCTGGGTTAGACCTCTGCCTATTACGAGTGTCCTAGCTGGTTCTCCTGCAGAAGGTCCGTGGGCCACGCCCTGGGAACGGCAGGGCGAGAGGAGTGGCCAGTGGAGAGGCGCCCTTTTTACCTGCGGGGCTCGGTTTCCCCCGTTTGTCGGTCCCGCCTCTCCCTCCTTCCTGGCGCCTGAGCTCCGTGAGGGGGACTAGGGCGGTGAAGACATGGGGGCCCCCGTCAGCAGCGCTCCTGCTGTTAGGGACAGTCCTTCTGAAAGGTGCCTCTGTGTCGGGCTAGTGATCCCACCGTGGCAGTCTTTTTGTTGTTGTTGCTGTTTTTGTTTTTTTTTTTAATTATGCTAAAATGCACATAATAAGCAACCTTCTTTTACACCACCAAAATATAGTCCAGGCATTCTCAGTAACGTGTAATATTATATAAAATATTAAATTTTTATTCCAGGGAAAGCGTGTAGAT